AGTTGTTGAGCGCGAGGTAGCTGATGGCTAGTAAGCGGTCTTACTCCTCTCCGAACCACATGTTCCTTGACGCCATCCCAGCCTAGTCCCGTACTCTTTTGCTCATTGGTCCCACTGTTGAGAAAGGGGGCTCCGGTTTGCCAGTCATGCGCAAGGACATCTGCAGATGTGAAGGCATCTTGCATAGTACTTGCGATGACACCGGTGGGACCGCGCTTTACCCAGCCTGCGCAGTATAGACCAGGGACATGGCCGGCGGTCAGTTCGCCGGGGCCAAGCGATGGCGAAATTATGCGGCCGTATATGTCGTTGGGTATAATGCCCATTTTGTTGTCAAATGGCACGCCTATGTCTGAAAGTCCTGGAAGGGCTGTCGACTTATAGCCCACTGATCGGAAGGCGAGCGACGCATCCATCATAGCCTCCTCATCTGTGGGTATTACACGTGCCGCAGGATCCATCGGATCAATGGCGAATTGCTGCTTCGTGAAGGCTATCGAAGAAAGGTGATTTGATGTCGAGTGCATGACCTTTGGTGCTTTGAGGAACTCGAGTGCCCATGAGCGCGGCGTTTCTTGCAAGGTTGCGTCACTACCCTTGAGCAGGATGTCTCCAATCCGTTTTTGCACCCTAGGAAGTTTCATATCGCGTGGGTAGAACGATCGATCGATGGGTTCGAAGGCGACAGACGGTATGTGCATTAGCTCCCGTGCCTCTTTGGCTGTGAATGCTACCTGAAACTTGTCAGCAAAGCACGGTGTCCTCATGAGAATGTACGACATACTTGAAGTGGCCCACGTCTGCCCACAATTCTGACGGATCTGACCTTGCTTTCAGACAATGTCTGGATAGCCTGTTCTGCAATGTCCGTCCTCGCGAGTTTGTCTACAGGCGAGAGCAGGATACGTGCAACATCCAATGCCACATTACCCTGCCCAATCACGACTGCCTGCTCGCCAGCCGTGAGATTCGGCTCAAGTCCTTGAAACTCTGGCAAGCCATTGTACCATCCCACAAATTCCCTTGCAGAATAGACTCCAGGTAAGTCTTCTCCCGGTATACCCAGCTTCCTATCTTCGCTGGCACCATAGGAGAACAACATTGCATCGTAATGCGGCCTCATCTGGGTTAATTCGACATCGGGGCCAACACGTACATTGCCGATATAGTTAAAGCGTGGTGATTGCGCCACTTCCTCGAAAGTGTCCTGGCAATTCTTGACCTCTGGATGATCAGGCGCAACGCCAAAGCGAACCAGGCCATAAGGTACAGGAAGCTGTTCGTACATGTCGATGACAGCATCTTGAACCTTATTGATGAGACGATGGGCTACATAGAAGCCAGCCGGGCCCGATCCAATAATGGCGATGCGTAGACGCCCTCTCGATGTCGTTGCCGTGCTGTACGTTTTGAAAGCGCCATTTGATGTTGGAGATGCTGTGCGATTCCGCAGCGTCATCGGATATTGTGATGGAATGCTAGTGTGCCCAGGCAGCACCCGATTGAAGCCATGGCCGCGACGTTTGAGAGCAGACACGCTTGCTATGCTTCGCGTGCAGCGAGTACAGACGAATGGCGTTTGCCGTATGTGCCGGGCGATGTTCATTTTTTTGCGGAGGGACAGTGTTGGACGTTGCCGTAGCTGCCACGTGCCGAGGGACTTGGGATGACTAAGATCACGAACCCCGACTGCTGAAATTCTCCGATCTTTGACTCTTGCCATCTTCAATCAGTCATTCAATCAATCTTCTCCAAAGGCGATGACAATCTCTCTCCAAGTATTCCCTTAGGAATCAAACCTGTGCTTGTGCTGCAATCTTACAAATACAGAATCGAGAAACATAACTACTCGGCTTCGAAGGACTACTAGACGAGGCCAAAGGAAGGAGGACCTCTACCTACCTAAGACATGCTTGTCTTGCCTTGTCTGAGTTTGAGCCCCACGAGTTCCTGGCCTGGTTTCCTTGTCAGCAGCTTGTCCTGGTGTTGTTCATGCAAGGTTCGCGTCTCACCCGTTGGTCTTCACGTCATAGGCGTTCTGGGCTCGTATTGGCTAAGAGAGGATCGTTGTCATGACGACCACATATTTACTCATGTACCTACATCAGTTCCCGGTCCCAAGTAGCTAATCTCCATCATTCCTTTGATAAGCGAGAGAGTTCCTGCATTTGCACTTTGCCTTGTGCCTAAGCGGAAGATCCTCTTTCATTCATTTCAGTGTCGCAATTTGCAAACATGGCGGGCCGTTGGCAGCCCTACCTCTATCAACCACAGAGAGACTCGACGGATTTCCCGCAGTCAACCTTCAACCCCAAGGCCGTGACAATGGCGAGTCGCATGCCACCGTCGCCTACAAAGAAGAAGCAGGATGGTCCATTGGTTAACTTTAACAAACATCCAGACAGCTATCTGATCGTGCCATACGGGAACACAGATGTGAAGCCAATGAACAAAAGGACGAAGACTTTCATCAAGGCCGCAAGAGGAGTGCAATTAGCCTTGCGCATATGCCAATTGCTAGGTGCAGTGGGTGTGTTGCTGTGCGGAATCTTTGTTCGCGGTGCGCTGGACACGGAAGGGTACATTATGAGGATACCGGTAAGTGCTTTTGGCTCGCGGCAAAGCACTGCTAACGTGGCAAGCCTGGTGTGGACATTGTCATTTGTCTCTACGCTGTATACCATCTGGTTCGCAACGCCAAATCGCGCCCCCCGGCGAGCTCAGCCAGCTACCACTTCTTCGCGATGGTCACGGATGCTGGATTCATCCCATTTTATGTCTTCACTCTCCTGATGGCAAAGCGAAACTCAGACCTTGAAGCAGGTACCACGGGGAGGTGGCGCACAATGTTCCCGACAGATGGGGAGACCAATACGGTTTTGAAGACCACATGGTTGACAGCCACCACACTTGCCGGTCTACATCTTGTCTCCATATTCCTAGACTTGTACTTGGTGGTCATCTTCAGGAAGATTTCTAGTTTGCCGCCGGACATGAACCCTCTGGAGGACAACCTCACTTCTCGCAGAAAATCAAAGCACAAGCACAAGAACTCTTCAATCTCGGCTATTCCGCAGTTCGCTGGCGACAACGAGAAGCGTTTCAGCACGCAGAGTACCGTTGCTTCGGAGAAAACTTCGCAGGCCGACCCATTGCTCCATAAAGACCGTCCAAATCCCATGAAAAATCAGGTCGCCTTTATGCACACACGCACCAACTCGGAGACAGTCTACTCACCCTCAAACGCCCCAGTCGGCTCGCCAATCCAGAGAACGTTATTCCATGTATTCGCAGCCTCCGGTAGCCCGTCAGTCAAGGAAGGATTTGAACACACGTGACGATCTTCTCCGGAGAAACGACGTTGATGACAGTGAAACCTTAGCTCAACGCAAATCCATGCTCGCCGAACAAGCCAACATCAAGCGTCACTCCAGGAACGACTCATACGTCACATCCGCATCCAAGCAAGACTTTTACACTCCTCCTGGAACTGCTCATTCTGAGAAGCAGGGTGCAGGTGGCGACCTATCCCTCCAACGCAACAGTCGCGAAACCCTCCAGAACGACAACTGGTTTGTGCACCCAGATGATGAGGAGGATCAGCCCAAACACCATGCTACCTCGCCACCCAAACAAACAATCTTCGCATCTAGCGCCGCATACAACGGTTATGACACTCTCTCTCCTTACGAAGATGTCTCAGATGAAGAAGCACACGCTATGGTTCCCCAACCATTGGGCATGAACCCGCCAACACCCCCACCTGACCACACCACAGACCAACAGAAAGACACACCCCCTCCTTCTGGCGCGCAGAGGACTTACACCACGGCCTCCATCTCCACGGAAGGCACACTTGATCGCTCGCACTCTCGCTCGGGGACCCCAAAGAGTAGGTTTTACGGCGACCTGAAAGGCGCAAGCGAGGGCGTGAGATTGCCGTCGACTTCGCCTACCAAAGCCGCAGTTCGGGCTCAGGAGATGGCAAGCCAAAAGAACTCGCTACCTAGCGCAACCAAACAATACGCAACGAATGCGTCACCGACGAAGAAGGGAATTGTGGTGAATTCCCCATTTTCGCTGCACAAGAAGAGCTACACGAGCGTGAGGAGGACGGGGGAGGCGGGATATACGGCGGTGCAGGGACAGAGCCCACGGGTGATTAGTCGGAGCGGGGTTGACTATATGAATCCGTATGAGTTTGATGATTCGGATTTGGGGGTGCAGACACAGGGGCGGCGGAGAGATGTTAGTGGGAAGATTGCGGAGGAAGGGAGGGGTGGGCAATGGAGTGGGATGGTGCAGAGGAAGGCGAGTGGAGTTGCCTAGGAGAATGCTGGGGAGAGGGTTCATTTGTTTGGTCCTGTTTTGGCGTTTGATGAGATATCTAGGCATTGAGAATGGGGGCTTGGTTTGGGTTGGAAAGGTACATGCTGGGATGTGTTATGATATGAGATGGCAAAGAGGAAATCACAATGAGAGCATGATGATGTGGTGCACAGTGGGGTTTGGTGTCTGTGACGGCATATTTGAGGTGTGGTTGTTGGGTAGCTGGGTAGAGCATGAGAGACAAAGGGCTTGGGCATTACCGGTAAGGGTGTGTGTAGGTACGGTAGATTGGCAGCACTGGCACGCGCGTACCGCGTTTGACAGCAGCCATTCGCAGCAAGGCACACGGACGGTAAGACTCGGATGCGTGCGTAGAGTAGAGTCGTGTTTTCTCTTTGGCGGCTCGGGTGCATGCAGCAACCAGCACGATCAGCTGGATGCCTGGGGCGCCCTGTGCTACGAGTACGGGATGAGGTAGACTGACTGGTAACGTGAGAGTCCAGTATCCAGACTTCCCCGAACCGAGAATGCTGGGCGGCTTCTTACCGTAGAGAGTCGTCTTGCTGGGCTGGGCTGGGCTGGCCACTCTTCCATGGTGCAAACATGTGTGGTGCTGGCGGAGTCGCCACCGCTAAGCACACACGCGTCCAAGACACATGACTTCGCGCGAATGGAAGGCTGATGGGCGGCAGTCGATGGCCTTTGGGGCCGAACAACTTCTCTCTGTGTCTTTTTGGCCCTGTGGGAGAAGAGGCCGTTCGACAAACGCGACGCGCCAGCCTTGGCTCGACGAATCCAAAACTCAACCCTCCTCCCCTCAACTTACTCACGCGCGGTTTTTCTTGTCTTGTTCTCGCGAGTCGTGGTTGTTGGCTGGGTTTGGCCCCGAAGAGAGTCACTAACCGTTGCTGTCTGTTGCCGCCGTTCGCGTCCTCGGTCTTGGTGTCTGCAGGTCGCGACACGCCCGCCTTCTGACCACACCACACCACACCACACCACACGTCCTCTCTGGTCTCTCTGTTGCTTGTCTTCTTCACAAGCATCATCCTCATCCTCATCATCACCATCAACAACCTTCTTGGCCTTCTACCAACTTGAGGCTCTGCGGCAACATCCCTGGCCCTATTTCGGAGCCAGATCACCCTAACCTCTAACCCATCCTCGTCTGTTGTTGTTTTCCTCGGCTTGAGCGCTCGGCCAGGTCTCCATGTCACAAGTCGCGGCCTACTACCCCGCTGTCGGCACGATGCGTAAGTCGCGTTCGCCCACGCCCAGCCGCCCGTTCAGCTATCCTGAGTACGGCAACTCACCAATTGCCCCGTCAGAACACGCCAACACGGTACCAGAAGTAGACATCTCGACAACCCCCAGGCAGGACATTCAGCACTCTCAGGATTCCGTCTTGTCTGCCGTCTCCAGCACCTTTTCCGCGCCAAGATTACCATCCTCGTCGAGCAACCTCTCCACGTCAACAACGGTGGCCGAAGCCGAGTCTACGCAGCCTTCGTCGGCCAATGTAGTCCCAAGTCAAATCAAGCCATCAGAGGTGTCCATGCCGGACTCTCCGACTCAAGCTCGTGCTGAAGGAGCGCAGCCAAATGCACCGCGGATCGATAGAGCAGCCGCGAACGCGCCGCGAACTGGTGACACAGCAGCTGCCGCCATGCCACTGGAATCGCCCATCGCGCAGGGGTTCAAGCGGAAAGCAGACGAGCCATGGAAGAGTGCGGGCTCTGGGTCAGATGTGCCAACAGCTCGTTTGCCTGCCCACAAGAGGAACAAGAGCACGGATGTGCACTCTAGTACCCGGATAGGCGAGGTGTGTGGCCTCACCGAGATCCTGGTATGCAGGTTCGCTGACGTACATGCAGCTATCCGCACAGCTCAAGACGCGTCTTTCTTATGCCATGGTCAAGGTCCAGTATGGGTGGGAGAAGCAGTCGCTTGACGAGCTGGAGGAGGTACATTCACAGCGTGGGTCGCCCAATTCGGCTCCAGAAAGGGGGGATAGACTTGCCTTTGGGTCTCCATATGCCTCAGACCGTCGACGAAGACCAAGTGGCGTATCTGAAACTTCCGACCAAATCATCTTGTCTCCGGCTTCGGATCCAACGCGGTCGTACGCCATTACACCTCCAGGTGAGTGCCCTCATCCCATCCACAATCTCATGCTAATCCATTTGAAGCACACTGGCGCCCAGGCACAAAACCTGCCATCAATGCCGCCGCAAGCCTGATTTCTATAACCAACGGTCAACATCCCCACGGCCTCGCCCCAGCCCCAACCTTTCAACCCAGCACTCGCCGTCGCTGCTCCAGCGTATCCCATGCGCCACCTCGCCTCCTGAGTTCGAACCAGCGAAAACATTATAGCGACCTAGGTACGGGTCCCCAGATGCCCGCCACACCTCGGGCAGGCATCTTGCGCATGCCTAGTCAGCAAGCAGAAAAGGATGCAGTCGACACACTGCTCTTCATGAGCAGTCCTAACAACTCGCAACGTTTCCCATTAGCCGGCCAACCCGCGTCACGTTCGTTAAGAACAGAGCCTCCACAACGAAGGGTCATGTTTGATACATATCAGCCACAAGAGAGACATGCGATGTATCAGCAGCAGATGCCTGCCCCACCACATCATCACCACCATTATGGACCATATACCGCGAATGGGGCGAGGTGACAGTGAAGAAACCCTTTACTTGGATACGCCAACGCTTCAGTCCCACTTGTCGAATTGGCTCGACATTTACAGCCAAGACGAAGACCTTGTTTATGCAAACGATCTGTTGACATGGAAGTCCTTTTTTTTGGACACGCAACCCGCATATGACTTCAATTCTTGATATTGACCTTGTTTGACTCTAGAAAGCTGTTGTATTTATTCGAGCAGCATGGGCGGTCTGGGGTCATGCATAGCGCTTTGAGCATTCAGGACTGCAGCATTGCCGATCCGCCTTGGCCAGGGGATGGTAACGATATATAACGACGATACGAATATATACAAGACCAAACAAATCACACCCGCGTGTCATTGTTGTCCAACGCTTAATGTTGTTATGCAGAGGTGCAAAGTGATCAACGGGTGGTTTGGTGCGTTTTAACACGATTGCATACGTTTTACATCTTTGCCTGTTGTATTCAGGAATCCAATTATGAGCTTCCGCATACCCACACACAAGTCAACTGGTTACTTTAAACTATGCGTTCCAGGCCCAAGAATTCACCACGCTTCGTGCACGCCATCTCCACACCACCGAAACCTATGAGCAGAAAGAATGCTACTATGGTCAAAGGCACGAGCACAAGCACAAGAACACGAGGACAACACGCCAAGGTATGTCAGGAACTCGGCCGACTCTGTCTGATATCGAATCCGTCGACCCTTCGCCGCTCCCTCTCTACTCTCTCTCTCTCTCTCTCTCTCTCTCTCTCTCTCTCTCTCTCTCTCTCTCTCTCTCGCTTACGTATGGAACCGACAGGGATGCAACGCGCGCGCAACGAAAACGTCATATGCAAGTGGGTCGGCGATAAATGGTACGGTATCAGCCCACAAGCATTCGTGGGCCTAGTTCAATGTTATAAAGGACGTCTTGCTCTTCCCGCTGCCTAGAGACTTGTTTCAGGAGTTTCTACTTCCTTGGAATCACATCTCCACTCCCCGTCTGTCTATATACCTCTGAGGAGTACATACGCGCGCGCGTGGTTGCTCGCTCTTCTACCACCCAGGGAAGGACGAGCTTATCGATAAGCTCGGAGCATCGCCCGCCCCTCAGTCACAAATCCATCTATCTTTGAAGCCAACAAAGGTCACATCGAAAAGAGAAGGGAAGGAAGATGTCGGCTATTTCAGCGGCTTTGAGGCAACGCTGTCGCCGACCGAGTTATCTGAAGAAGGTGGCGAAGGCGGAGGATTTGTTGCATTATTTTCCCAATGGGGCCTACATTGGGTGGAGTGGGTTCACGGGTGTCGGTTATCCCAAGTAAGGATGTCTTTCTTTTTTTGATTGTTAATAAAGCTTCCGTGGGTTCAACAGTATGGAGAAGGAGGCCGCAAAAGTTGAGATCTATTGGGAGTGGCTTGATGGGAGATCAATTGGTGGTTTGGTACAACGTGGATGGGTTGGTGATCCCGAGGTCGAACGGAAGAGCGAAAAGGTGCCTGGGCCGAGACATCTCCGGATCCACTGTGGATTTGTGCATGGATCTGGCCATTCATGTGGTCGATCCGGGTGCCCACTGTGGAATCATTGTGGAGTCTCGCCAAAGCTTTCTACAGTAGCTGTTGTGGATCAGAGCTTGGTTGTAGTACAGACCATGCTGGGATCATTTTGGCTAACGCAACCACCAGGAAAATCCCCACTGCTCTAGCCGACCATGTCGAGAAGAACAGTCTCCAGGGTCAGCTCAAGTACAATCTCTTTGTCGGTGCATCGTCTGGCGCTGAAACGGAGAATCGATGGGCACGTTTGAATATGATTGAGCGTCGCTCGCCGCATCAAGTTGGAAAGGAGATTGCAAAAGGAATCAACAATGGTAACATCAATTTCTTCGATAAGCATCTCAGCATGTTTCCTGTGGATTTGATGTATGGGTGAGTGCGATATCTAGTTCATGCTCCGCAGAACTGGTATAGACTGACCGGGATCAGCTTTTACACTCTCAACAAGCCCAACAACAAGCTCGATGTCACAATTGTCGAAGCATCTGCCATCACCGAAGATGGTGGCATCATTCCAGGAGCCAGCGTCGGTGCATCACCTGAACTCATCCAAATGGCGGACAAGATCATCATCGAAGTCAACACCGCAGCGCCCTCGTTTGAAGGTCTTCACGACATCACCATGACGGATCTCCCACCTCGCCGGAAGCCGTACCTCATCATGTCACCTGAAGATCGTATTGGTACGCCACATATTCCTGTTGATCCTGAAAAGGTCGTTGCTATTGTTGAGAGTGATTACCCTGATCAGACACAGCCGAATGCTGCTGAAGATGACACCTCAAGAGCTATTGCTGCGAATCTGATTGAATTCCTCAAGCACGAGGTCAGCCATGGTCGCTTGCCAGAGAATCTTCTTCCCCTGCAATCTGGTATTGGTAACATTGCCAACGCCGTTGTTGGAGGTCTCGCAGTAAGTAACCCATTTTCCTTCCTCACCATATGATCAAATTAATGATATCATGATAGTCTGGAGGCGCAAACTTCAAAAACCTAAAAGTATGGACCGAAGTCCTTCAAGACTCCTTCCTCGACCTCTTTGACTCTGGCAACCTCGACTTCGCCACCGCAACCTCTATCCGCTTCTCCCCCGATGGCTTCCACCGCTTCTACGACAGGTGGGACGAGTATGCACCTAAGCTACTGCTGCGTTCGCAGCAAGTCTCCAATTCGCCCGAGATCATCAGACGTTTGGGCGTCATTGGCATGAACACACCGGTCGAAGTGGACATCTACGCCCACGCAAACAGCACCTGCGTCATGGGCTCACGCATGCTCAACGGCCTCGGCGGCAGCGCCGACTTCTTGCGCTCGGCAAAATACTCTATCATGCACACCCCCTCCACCCGGCCCTCGAAGACAGATCCCACAGGCGTATCCTGCATTGTCCCCATGTGCACACACATTGACCAAACCGAGCACGACCTCGACGTCGTCGTCACCGAACAGGGGCTCGCTGACGTCCGGGGCCTGTCCCCCAAGGAAAGGGCGAGGGTGATTATCAAAAAGTGCGCTCACCCGGATTATGTCCCGATTCTGGAGGACTACTTTAATAAAGCAGAGTTTGAGTGTTTGAGGAAGGGTTGGGGGCATGAGCCACATTTGTTGTGGAATAGCTTTGATATGCATAGGCATTTGAATGAGCATGGGACTATGAAGTTGCCCAAGTGGGATTATGTGGGGTATGGGGACAAATAGGGGGACTCGGGAGAGGGAAGAATGTGGGTCGAGCAGGAGGAGTGCAGGAGAGCTTTGAAGGAGATGATATGGCGAAGATAGGCAGTGTTTCCACATGCCTTGAGCGTTGGCTGGATTGGGGATGCCAGCATGCTCCCAATACACAGAATTAAAATCCATTACAGTTGCATTTACAATTCAATAACTCGCTGCTCGCCGTCCACGCCAGCCCAGCTGCGAGAATCCGAAGGCGCAAACCACTTTTTGAAAACGTCAACCAAGACCTCATCACTCAATTGCATATGCTCTCCCTCGGTCGACTCGAAATGCAAACCCCCCCTTTCATCCAACTTCTTCAAGCCAATCCAATCCTCCTTGTATATCTCCCGCTCCCTCACCCCCGTCACCCTCCCATCCGTCACATTCGTATATGCAAACCAGCCACTCTCCTTTGGAATCACAGTCGTATCATTCTCAAACACATACATGACAAAATGATCCAAGCCCGCCAGCCGGCGCGCATACGCCTCATTCTTACTCGCCCGCTCATTATTCACATCGGCGAGGAAATTCGAATTTTCCAAATACTCCTCCGTCGGCTCGCCCGTGCGCTCATCCACCGCCTTGAAATACTGCGCAGGCACCAAGTGCGACTGCACCCACGCACTCCACGTGTTGGACTTCAACAGCGCAATGTACGATTTACACAGCCAGTCCGACGACCCGCATACCTGGTACTTTGCAATCCCATTGTGCTGGCTCCCAAACGTGACGAGATTACGCACCCGCACCCGATCTCCACAGCGCTGCACCAGCGCGCGTAGAAACTGGCCGCCTTGGGAGAAACCGAGGGCGTTGAGACCGGGGGCAGCGGACAGGACTGGGTGCGAGGCAATGTCGTCGCAGACGACATCCATAATCCTTAAGCACGCCTAGTG